AGGGGAGTTGGGGGGTGCGGGTGGTAGTGTGGGAGGGGGGGGGGGACTGACTGCCCATCACACCACCTCCCACCTGCACCTGGTCAACGAGTCACGACCCCGTGGAGTAGTTCCGGTGCAGATGGTCGCCTTCGTTATCTCAGTCAGACGGAGTTTCCACTGATATGAAAATGGAACGCCTGATTTGAAAACTGACTCAACGACGTCAACAATTGTTAATTAATGTTGTCGTTATCATTTGGAATCAGTGTTTGTTGTTTGATTTTTCTCTTCCTGGTGTCCTTGGTATCGATGTGATTTTAGTCAAAATGTCAGGATCAAACATGGAAGAGAGAAAAGAGTCAGTTTGGTTGGCAGTGGTCTGTGACCTTCGTTGACCTTTACAGCGTGTTTCCTCACATCACCTCACTCAGCTGGCACCGTCGCCATCCAACTTCCACTGTGACCCGTTCGTTTGCCAGGCCTCAGTTATAAAAAATTATCTGTTTTTTTTTATCTGTCTTGCTTGGTTAAATAAAGGACAAATAAAAAATAAAAAAATAGAATTAAACAGTAAAAAAAAAACCAAATGGCTTCATTTTTTTTGGCTGCTGTCAGATGAGTTTGGACACAGAACTCGATGACAACAATGAATCTCTTCTTCTGTGGTTCTAAAGACATAAAAGTGATGCAATAATGATGAAAAAGATCATTAATATTTATGGTATTGTGTGAACTCTGTTTTTGGCCAAAGGGTTTTTCTTGAATCTTTTTATTATGATATCACTTTTTTTAGCTCTGACTTTGATAAACAACAAAAAATAAATTGTAAAACTTCATCTATAATCATCCTAAAACAAACAAACAAATCTATGGATTTCACTGGTCTCCCTGTGTGAGGCTGCAAAAAACCACCAACCAAAATCATTTTCAGGTCACAGCAACATTGTTGTTGTTTGTATATGTTGTTGTTGTTGTTGTTTTTCACGTTGCTCATTTGTTGTTCACCGCTGGTTGCTGCTCCTGATCCCGGGTCTGGTCTCATCCACAGTACTCTGGTTTCCAGCAGACGGCTGAGAAGTGCTTCGTTTGTGGTCACCTCATCATGGAGATGGTAAGAGCCGTCGTGACCCCGAAAGGCAGAGTTCGATGGTCGAACACAGTCGGCCTGTTCAGCAAAGGCGTTTCACTGGTTACATAAACGTCTCTCATTAATCAGAGACTCTGTGCTCGTGTTGGTGCTGTAGGCAACACCGTTTTTTCTCTGTGCAAATGGATAAAAAATATAAATGATGAACAAGGGAAGGTCAGAAAAGGTGAAAAACAAATAGATTCTTGAGAATAACAATAATAATAATGTTCAAGCTCAAGTTGTTTATGTCGTCCAGGAGACGCGTCTCAAACACATTCGTTAGGATTTAGACGTTCGATCATTCGTAGAAAAAACTGATTTTTTTTGTGCTCACCAGAAAAATGAATTTTCAGACAGACCTTGGCTTTTCTTTTTTTTTTTTGACAGAAGAACAGTGTGAATTTCTCCCACTGCCTCAACACACGTCACACACTTCAGTGGTTTTTCAGTCTCCATTTAAAGAATTGTCTCCAATAGCAACATTTTCATGGAAACTTTCTGAACTTGTTGCCCCTGCTCTCCAGCCTGACTCTGGTTGTTGTTGTTGTTGTTTTACTCTGTGTGTGTGTGTGTGTGTAGATCCTCCAGGCTCTGGGCAGGTCCTACCATCCAGGCTGTTTCCGCTGTGTGGTGTGTAAAGAGGGTCTGGACGGAGTGCCTTTCACCGTGGATGTAGAAAACAACATCTACTGCGTCAAAGACTATCACACGTAAGGAGAGAGAAGAGTTCTGGTCAGGGAAGAGTTCTGGAAAGGGAAGAGGTCAGGTCAGAGAAGAGTTCTGGGCAGGGAAGAGTTCAGGTCAGAGAAGAGTTCTGGTCAGGGAAGAGTGCTGGTCAGAGAAGAGGTCTGGACCCAGGCTTCAAACAGGCCATATCCAGGCCATATCCCTGGTGGTCTAGTGGTTCGGATTCGCCGTCAGTTCCATAGTGTAGCGGTTAGCATGTCAGTTCCATAGTCTAGCGGTTAGCACCTCTGCCTCTAAAGCAGATAATCCTGGGTTCAATTCCCAGAGGAACCACATGCTAACGACAGTCTGTTAACAGCATATCTGCTGCTAACGTAACAGTTTCCCAAATAGTGGATCAATATAGTACAAATTAATTTTATTTATTTGTTTTATTCCTTTCCTGTTTTCTCCTTCTTTTATTCATTTTTTTATTCCTTTCCTGTTTTCTCCTTCTTTAACAATTTCATCTTTTTTATTAAAAATATATCTTATTATAAATAAATAAATGAATATTAAAAATGATTAAAATAAATGATCCCAACAGTAGCTCCAATAATCCTAACGAATATTAAAAATTAAAAAATAATATACAAAAAAAAAATCCCAACAGTAGTTCCAATAATCCTAATATATCTGTGCTTCACTCCCACTGTTTCCTCTTCCACTCTGCCTCCACTTGGCACAGCGTGGTGTTGAACAAGTACCAAAAATCCCAGCTCCCCATGGGCACAAAAAAGTGCCGAGTACTCGTCCTGTGTCTGGTGTTAGTCAGTGGAATATTTCAGGGAACAGGGGAAATGTTTTTGCCTGAGGTCAGTGAGTCTCAAACTGTTTGTGCAGCATCTGAACAAAAGGAATACGATGACAAATGGCTTTAATTTTGCCACCGTGGCATTAGCTCTGTGCCCTCCTGAGGGCCCCGACCCCACTTTGGGAACCACAGCTGTAGGGGATTGAGTTAAAACTAAAAGTCACGTGTGTTGTTTCTCCGTCTCTTCTACAACAGGGTCTTTGCTCCAAAGTGTGCCTCCTGTAACCAGCCCATTCTACCAGCCCAGGTCAGTGCTGTGTCTCCGTGTCTTCAGGTGTATTAATAGAAACGTTACAGTCGTCTTCTGCCAAGAAATGTGCGTTTCCAAAGTCCACGCTGGATAAGAGAGAAGCTGAGTACAGTCTGAGTGACAGCAGCGACAGAAACAACGTCGTCATCAGTTTAAAACCACAAAGGCAGAATGTGATATTTTTAAATTCCTAAAGTTGAGTCTTGAGATTAACATGGTTGGATTTAAAGTCAGTGCGATGAGATGTTAGAAATTAGAAATGATGAATTAAAAATGATTTTCATAGAGTTAAAAAAATGCTTCCATTATTATTATTATTATTTTGTTAGACTGATCAGATTTTTTTTTCCATGCCTGTAACTAACAACATTAAAATCTGACCTTAATTAACATTTCTGATTTCTACATAAAGAACGTACATGTTTTTAAACATGATAATGTTTTTAATATAATAATATCAGAGTCATTTGTGCCGCAGGGCTCTGAGGAAACCATCCGGGTCGTTTCCATGGACAAGGACTATCACGTGGAGTGTTACCACTGTGAGGTGAGTCCTCACGCACACAAACATGTTAAACTAAATGTTGTTTTTAAAAACAACATTTAGTTTTTTCTAAATGTAATCATTGATTTGCATGTTTGACCTGTTGGATTTCCAGCGACCTTCAAATCTTTGCTGTCACTAAAAACAAAAACATCCAAAAAGTGCAGCTTCCATGAAAGTCGATGAATTTTATTTTAAATACCCAGAACTGAGGGGGGCGCTGTTATTTATTTATTTATTTTTTATTTTTTTTGTCAGTTACAACTTGAGTGTCATCTTTCGTAGATCAGCTAGATATTTACCCGCTGACCTCATGTGGAACTGGACAGGTTTAACCACTGGGTCTGGAAAACTGACGCTGACTGGTGTGAGCTGTGGTTTTTAGGTCAAGAAAGTCCTCACACTGACCTTTTTATCTTAAAATATTTGGGATTTTATAACAAATTCAGGACATGTGAAGATGTGTCTCTGACACCTTTAGTCACCTATTTTCCTGCTACACTTTTTGAAAATTTGAGAATTGTGTTTGTGACAAAAGATTTGGATTTTAATGGAAACCCAGTTAACAACGAACATATTATTAACTTTTAACCACTCACTCAAAATCCAACGTAAAGATACGGTAACTCAGTGGTTCTCAACCTGGTTTTGACATCAAAAATTTCTGGTGACTTTTTTTTGTCTATAATTAGTTTGTGTAAATACAGAGTTAGATTAGATCACTGAAAAATAAGACTGAACAACACAATATTTTTAAGTCATTCAGGCGACCCTGTTTGAGTTTCAGGCGACCCCCACGTGGGGCCGCAACCCCATGGTTGAAAGAACACTGCACTGACTCAAAGATTACACACAACACTGGAACATTTTTTTTTTTTGTCTGTTTTTACACACGAGTCAAAGGGCTGAGACGACTGATCTGGGATCAGGCTGCTGTGGTGAGACGAGACTTTGTACCAGTCGGGGTGAATCACCTGTGATGGAATGAATAGGACACACAAACAACACAAACACAAACACACACACACACATGCCTGGAGGGTATGAATACAGACAGATACCAAACCAAGGTTAATGCAGAGTGACTCACTGACGAAGCACATTCCTGCGTCGAGCTCTGAACTCGGCTGGAGTTGTGTCAGACCTGTGAGGCGGCACACGTCCTGATTCTGACAAATCACCGTCCGAGTCGGACCACGGGGGTCAGAGGTCAAGTGTTTAATAGACTTGGACACAGACGAAGCCTCAGGTTCTCTGAAGTACCAGAGATTAAAGTCTTTACTGTTGTTAAAGTTTGTCACACTGCATCGTATTTGAATAATCAGAAACACGTCTCCTTCATCACAGCTTCATCACTGTCGTCGTCCAGCGTTGAGATGTCGTTGTTAACGATTGACGACTCGGAGCTGAAATTTTAAACCAAACTTTAATGGGAACCCGGTTGATTTAAAGGAGCAGGTTGTAAAAAAAGAAAATTACCCAGAATTCTTCCAAAAATTCAGATAGAATCACCAGGATATGTAGTGAAATGATTTTTCTTTTTTCTTTTATAAATTTGTCTTGAACCTTTTTTGGCTTCACCTCTTGTTGTTGTTGTTGTTGTTAGGTAACATGTGAGCTAATCATCAGCCGTCCTCACACAGACACAGGAAGTGTAACGCCTAAACAAGTTATAAATCAGTAATTCATTACCTGTTTGAATAACAGTCAGATCATCTTCAGCTACAGGGGTTTCAAACCTCTGGTCCGAGGGTCACATCAGACACATGAAAACGATAGAAATTTTTTTGTCTAGAAGTTTATTAACAGTGGAACTGAGACCAGCCGCACACAAAAGGTTCCCTCAGAACGGGGGACTGTGAGATTCTCCAAAGTTTTCTTATTCATTCCTGTCTGAAACATTAGTTCTACTCTCCGTGAGTGGAAAATGTTCCCGTTATCTGCGAAGATGTTTTACACAGTTCTCATCCAGTACTTCTTGCTCAGAGCTCAGCCCAGGGCAGAATTCTGCACGAGAACTCACTCCTCACATGTCTCCAGTCCGCGCTTTAACGGTTTAGAAGTTGTTGGTTTTTTTCTGAACAGCTTTTGTAGATAGAATTATTTTCCTCCGAGGTTTTTTTCAAATTCACAGCAGTTACTTCAGGAACAAAGACGGTGAAACGACAAGTCATTGGAATTTTCACTAAAAAGTAGAACATTTCTTTCAATTGCTACGACCCAATGCAGTAGCTCAGCAGCGCCATAGGTGGCCCCGCCCCCCACTTTGGGAACCACTGCTTCAATAAATCTGTCCATCCTGTAAAAAAGCCTCATTTACTAACAAGAAATACAAGTACTGCAGTTCATACTTTTTAAGAGCAAATCTTACTAGAAATGCTTTTTTGGAATAATTCCGACGTGATGGTGTTTTTTTTTTTTTTAAAGTCGTTAAACTTTGAACTGATTCATTCTCCGTGTCTCTGCAGGACTGCGGTCTGAAGCTGAACGACGAGGAGGGTCATCGCTGTTACCCCCTGGACTGTCACCTGCTCTGCCACAGCTGCCACATACACCGGCTCCAGTCGCAGGTCCCGCCCCACCTGCCTCCCAGCTACCCCCTCCACGTCACCGAGCTCTGAGGGGCAGCGGCCCAGCCCTGTGGCCCACGTGGTGTGGTACAGCAGCAGCAGCAGTTACAGGGTGTGTCCCTCTCCTCAACTAGACAGCAAGGCTGTCACATGACATGGTTGAGGAAAGAACCCCCCCCTCACCCTCACCCTCACCCTCAGCCCTTGTTTTTTTTCCTTACCATCTTTTTGGCATCTCACCCTGGATGCCAACCTGTCACCCCCCGCCCCCCAGACTGGTCTCTCCGGCCTCGTCTCCCACTCATTCCTCTTCGTTTCATTCCTGTGCTCTGACTGAAGAGGTTTTTTTTTTTGTTTTTTTTTTTTACCCCGGAGGTTTTCTATCGTTACTGTCACCTCAGAGTCTGCTGCTGAACTCTGGGGGACGGAGTCCCAACATTCCAGACGTGGGCATGCAGTGCCTTCAGATGATGTGCCCGAGCTGCAGATATTAACACTGAAATAAAGAGGGGGGGCGGGGGTCAACAAAGAGGCTGCATTATGACATTAAACTATGAAGATAGAAAAAAAAGAACCCCCCCGTCCCCCCCGACCACCCTGCAGCACCCCAACAAAACAGACGCACCGTAGCAGCACCAGCGCGAACCATCGACTGACGTTTCACTTAGAGATCTTAACCCGGAGCGGACCTCCAGAGATTCCTGAGCAGTGTCTTAATTAATACCAATATTATGACAGAAGAACAATTTTAGAAGCACATAGAATGTCTTTTATAAATGGATATATATTTTGCAGATGTTTTCCACATAAGATCCTAGTCGTAGTTTCTCTGTTTTTGTTTGTTTGTTTTTTTCTTAATTTGTGGATTTGTTCTTCAGAGGTGGAAACGTTTTGACGGTCCGACGCCTCTGGAGACGTGGTTTTATCTTTAGTATCATTTCTCATCCAGGATGAAGACAGATGTGTCTGTCTGTGGGTCAGAGATCCACAGGTTTGTGTTTTCTGTTTTTTTTTTTGTTTTAAGAACAGACTTGGTCCAAATGGTTTATGAACAGATTTGCTTCGTATCACGATTGTCAAAGTCCAGCTGCCGTTTCACACACACACTGTCAAACTTTATACACACTTCTCTTAACTGCTGCTACTGAATGTAGTCTAGACCAAACGTCTGTTTCCCAAACGTTTTTTTCTGAGGACCCACATTTTAAGAATCACAAACCTTCACGACCCAAAGTCAACAGACATTATTCGTAAACTCCTGGGAAACGTGATGCGAGACGACGCAGAAAAAAAAAATATCTTGTGACCCACCTGAGGGTCACGACCCAGTCTTTGGGAAACAAAGGACATCGTGTGAAAATATAACCTAGTTAATTACAGCTCTGATTTGAAAGAAAAGTTTAATCAAATACATATTCATCACTTTAAATATAATTTTAAATCTGATTAAACATTCGAGCTAAAATACGTTTTTTTTTTCTTCTTCCAGGTTCATATGTAAATACAGCTAATAATAACATAATTTATTCTGACTACAGCAGCTCCTCTGACGCCGTGTCCTCGTCTGTGAGGCGTCAAAGACTTAATGAATGTTGATACTTCATTATTTTGTCCCGTTCCTGCAACAGTTAAAAAAGCGAAGCAGCACTGTTCAAATCCCATCTGCCTCCGGTCTGTTCTGACACTGGTTCCTCTTCCTGTTTCCAGACACTGGTTTTGTCACGTGATCACTAAGAACAGTGTGTGTTCCTGTGAGGAACCTTTTCACTTGTCCGCATGCCTTAACACACACAGGTGTGTGTGTGAGTGTGTGTGTGTGTGAGTGTCTCGGTCTGGGGCCTGTGTCGTCTGGTGACTTCACTCTCCGTGTTTTTCTGACCTGAATCCCAACTCCTCCACCGGGGGCATCGGTGCTTTCTGTTTGAATGTGAGCAACATAAATGGAAAAATAAATAGAACAAATATAGAATACGTTTTTCAACCTTAGGGTCACGAGGCCACATGGGGACATCTGGAATTCAAATTGGGTCGCATGAAATGTCCAGTAATTGATTTAAAAAAAATAATGATATAAATGTGTTTTTCAACTAATTATTATTCTTTTTGAAATTATAACTTACACCACTAATCTCACTACTCTGTATTTGCAACCCATTATAACAAACATTCTCACAAATTAATTCTTGGAGAAAAAAAAAATTGTCTCTGGGCTCGTCAGACATTTATGATGTCAGAACGGGGTCACGAGCCAAAAATTGACATTTTTTCTGTGGTTTCCGTTTTAGTTCTAAAAGCGAAAATTGTTTTTGTTTTTTAAATTCTGACTCATCGTGACAAAGCTCTGAAAGCGAAAATCGTTATCGTTTTTTAAATTCTGACTCATCGTGACAGCGTTGTTTTCGCAGCTCTCTAACGTGGACGGAAAAAAAGTTCTTGTTGCTCACAACTTTTGTCATTTTACTGCTGAAAATGTATTTAATGTTCCATCAGGTTTAAATGTGACTGAGTGACCTCACTGTGTGACACAGGCCCTGAACTGTCACCAGGTCTGCTGTGGTGTTGATTTTTTAAAGGGACAGTCCTGAAAACCTGGAGCTGCTGGTCCAACTCAGGTTTTTCTAGAGGAGCTGATCCAACACTTTCACTTACGTCCATGTCTGTGAATGTGCAGTGTGGATCTAAAAAATCAAACATATGTGAGACACAAAAAAAAAAAAATGACGGTTTTCAACTCTCTGGTGCTGGAAAAAAAAAATCAGGACAAGAAGGTTTTCCTTCTGGGTTTCAGTTACCGATGCATTTAAACGATTCGCGGCAGAATTAAAGAATTAAAGATACTGTAGGGAAGTTCTGTTTCTGAGGAAAACACTGTGCCGTTCCTGCACTAAGCAAAACTCCCAGCTGCTGTACATGTCTGCAGACACCCCCCCCCCCGTGTCCCCCCCGATACATGTTCAGATTGTTTGTATGTTGACTTGTGTGTGTGTGTGTGTGTGTGTGTGTGTGTGGATGGCAGGACCATTGCACACATGCGTCTCACTGTGTTTGCTGGGCAGCACAGCATCCGACAGTGACCCCCGGTCTCTCTATCCTGACACTGTGATGATTTTTTGTTTTTTTTTTCCCGACTTTTATTCCATATAATTGCAGATGTAACTGTGGGTGTTTGTTCTACGCTCTGTTCCATCCACCAACAGTTACCGAGTGTTGATGGACACAGGTGAATAGAAATACTACTGAATGTGTCACAGACAGGGGGCGACAGGGAGCGGCGGAGGGTGAAGACGGCGGGGTCTCCACAGACAGGAAGTGCTTTTTATTGGAACCTTGGAATGTAATTTTTTTATGGTCGTGTATTTGTGGAAGCAGAAAGAAAGCGACGACCGCGTGCTGTACATGAGAAGTTGCCCCCGTTGTTGGATGTGTTTTTTTTTTTGTTTTTTTTTACCTCGACTTTGTACCTTTCGTGTGTGTAAAGAATGAGGCCTTTTTTTTCTCGACTTGTCCTGCACAACCGTGTACTGTATCGGCGCCGACGTAACGATCCACAGTGTGCCCCCCCCCCTTTAAAGATGTCTTAATTCACCTGTTGTAAAAGTACTACTTCAGTTTCTATTGTATAGTGCACAGCTAGTTAACCTGTACATAAAGAGGCTAGTTTTTTAATTTTTTTTTTTTTTTTCTTTCAAACATCACTTGGAAACAGAAGTCTGCTCCTACTGGTAGTTCCAATAAGCACATCTCAGTACCTGTCACACAACTTTTGTATCTCTAAATGTTGTTTTGATTACCTAGATGGTTCATAAAACGAAAAAAAAAACAAAAAAGGAAACTAGATCTATTTATCTAAACCTGAAAAGTCTAAAGTTATTTAATGTATTAAAAAATCAGGATGTATCATTTAACTGTAGATGACATGATCCGCTTTTTCAATAAAGTGGTTTTGTAGCTAACTGCAAAAGTGGTCCATGCTGTTAAATATTTACTCCTCTCTTTTCACACACACACACACACACAGGCAGAGTACCGGTGTGTACACCACAAACATGATATTATCAGAGAAGCGGAAACTTCCCAACAGAAACTCAGTCGTCGGTCAGTTCCCTCGTCTCTCACACATTCCTGGACGTGCACACAAACAAGATGCGTCGATACGGGGGAACTGTCTGTGAAGTCACTGCAAATCATTTCCAAGAAACGGGTTAAGGGCCGTAGAATGTTGGCAGGTTGACTTTTTTAGGTGGTTTAGGTTCATTTAAGTGAGTTTTTTGACATTTTGAAGGAACCGTAATCGTTTCCTGTGAATCGTAAAAAATATATTATTTACAATGATACTATGACTGTTAAATCACACAGAATAAAACAACAACAAAATGACAGCAAAAAAATAGTTATCTCTGAGAGACTCCTAATACATGGACCCCTAGTGGTACGCTAGGAATTTACAGGCAGCACATTTACATTAGTCACATTTTAGGTTTACATTTTTGTTTAAGGTTTATTTGCCAAAATACACACACTGTCACATTTTAGGTTTACATTTTTGTTAAAGGTTGATTTGACAAAATACACACACACACATATTTATATATAGAGAGAGAGAGAGAGAGAGAAAGAGAGAGTACTTCTAGAGTGTCAAACCTTTGACGCGTACAAATATTCTCTGGCATTTATACATAAATATGTGGTGAAGAAAATTAAAAAGTCAGGCTCAGATTATATCAGCACCGCAGAGGGTTTGACACAAAAGCACCCAGTCTTATGAATTATATTGAGAAAAAAAAAACTGCTTTGATTGACAGGTCTGCGGTGATAGTACAGTATGTATGACTGTAGGCCAAATTATTAATGAAAAGGAACAGGCAGAGAGAGATAAAGAGATTTGGCTCAAAGAAAATGCCTCCTTCACCGTTTCTGTCTCCTGTTTCAACAAGAGCGACTGCACCCGCATTTATCATTTATATTTATATTTATATTTATATTTACCTGTATTGGTAAGTCGGCTGTACATGTGCAGAAGTCACAGGCGTGTATATATATATATATATATATATAGATGCGTACTGTGAGTGTGTACGTGAAAGCACAGTCCGGTCTGCTCTCTGTGGCCGAACACTCCTGCGGACTGAACAGTAGCCCTCACTGTGAGGGGCTGAATGGTGTTGGTTGACATGGGTCTGGGCACAAAGCTCTCTTTATGTGACTGAGGGTTCCACCCTGTGATTCAGGGAGCTGTGTGTGTGTGTGTGTGTGTGCGTGCAGACGTAGTTGCAGCCCCTCGGGGATCTGCTTTGAGGTGAGCTCTGTTACAGTACACAAAGGAACACCTTCCCTCCAGAGCACACAGGTCCGTCCACTGGCAGGAAGTGAGGAGAAATATGTTCGCCACAGGATTACCTCATACAGCCTCAGTCTTTGGTTACTGATACTGCGGCCCTTCTACTGCACCAGGAATGTTTGCCTCTCGTTTGTTGCTCCCTAAACTCCCTGAAAATACAAAGTATGTACATCAATGTGTCTCCTGAAGAAAGGGTCTCTTTATGTTTGAAATCTCAGCTGTGACTTCAGTCATGACATTAATTTAAGTCCAGTTTATCGTCTACTGTGGATCAGTGGTCTCCATCTTTGTACTGACCATTACAGCAGACCAGTAACTCTGCACCAATCAGTTTTGGATCATTAAATTTAGAAAATAAAACATCTTTAACACTATATTCTGTTAGTATCTTTAAATGAAGAAAGTAAATGAAAATGACTGGATTCTTTTTGAATGAAGTAAATTAGTAAAAATGAAGTACATTTTCAGGATCAGGATCCCTCCTGTAGATGACTCCTGCCTGAGGAAGGATTAAAACAGTAGAGACATCAAACTTTAAACTTTTTTACATTACATTACATTTAGCAGACAGGGCCAGATTTAGGGGGTTTGCCGGCCTCAAGTGGGCCCCAGGCCAGGGGTTGGACCTCATCCCAGGAATACAACAATACAACAATAATATGTTTCAGATACACACACACACACACACACACACTATCCTTACTAGGAACCATCAGAAACCATCAAACTCACCAGGAGAGACGGATTTAATCTTTAAAACAAATGTGCGACTGTCAAAGTGTGAAAGTATTGATGTTTTTATTCCCTTTTTTATCTGCAGTATGGTGATGCTGAATGAGACTGTGAAGGGAAAATTCTCACAGTGGATGCAGAAAAACACGCTACTGAGCAAAGAGCACCAACACAGCTTTGGCAAAAACTAAAGACTCAGTTCTGGGAATTCTTCAGGGATCAGAGACATGTCGGAGAAAATGATCCAAATACAACCAGATGGTCTCACGTCCAACACCATGGGAAAATAATGAGCAACAAATGTGATTGTCTTTAATTGGTCAAGAAGGATTTATGTTTCCACAAGGTGTTAAAGAATTGATGCAAACAACTGGGATCTGGTTGAAACACATGGACCCAGAGCCTCAGGCCAGAGTCTCAGGGTCAGCCAGAGCCCCCTGTGGCCTCATGGGAGAACTACTGGCTCTCTTTGCTGAGAGGGAACAAACTCTACCCACATACTTGAGTAAATCTTTATATAACTCCAGCAGTCGTGGGAAAATGAAGCTGAGCTTCACTGGCTGTGTGTTGTTTTTTTGTTGTTGTTGTTTCTGCATCACTTCGATCAGTCGGGGATTTGATCCCAGTCATCTGGTTCTGATCCGGTGACTGTAAACCACTGTACTGATATAACTCCAACACTGTTGTGTCCTGAGTCCGAGGTTCAGCGACCGGCTGATTCTGTCCACCCTCTCTAAACCTTCAGGTTTTCTTCTGTGTTTTTAAGTGGGTGCTGATCATCTCTGAGTGGCATGCTGCCACCTACTGGATCATTTTGATTACATGAAAACAGAAGGTCAGATCCCTGCAAATCAGTGGATTTCCTTTTGTTTCCTGTCATGCTCCCCCCCCCTTGGGGACAGAAATGTTTTCACCACCACTGCCCCTCAGAGTCCCCACCTGTATATTTTTATCTGTACAAACCACTGTATGAGTTGCTGCCACCTAGTGGCTGGAGGCTTGTTATTATTCAAGCATTACAGCAGTGGTACATTTATGTCCAGTGTGCCATATACCATCTTAAGCCCCCCCCCACCCTGCCCCACCACCCGGGCCCGCCCCACGGTTTGAGAACGACTACTACAAATGAACAGAGCCCAATTTATTCCCCATTAAAATGACTGAGGGGATTTTAATTTATGATTGTAAATATGATTTTTTTTTTTTTTTTCAAACACGTGCCTTCTTAGAAAACCCAGTACCGCCGTGTTCTGCAGGGTTGTGTGTTTTCAGTTCCTGGAAAGCTGCAGACCATGAAGGCATTCCAGTGAAGTTCAAACCAGAATCAAATCTGGCTTCAGATTCACAGGACGCTGTTTTATCCCAACTGGTTCTGAGCTCGTCCACAGGACGTTAGGTCCAGACCTGCCAGCAGCCCGGTGCGTCGTGATGCATGGTAATGTGTGAGGGAAGAGAACAGACGTCTCACAACAACAACGTAATGTTCTGCACCTCCTCGGAGGAGGAGGAACGCCGTGTTCTAACCCCTGCACCCGGCGCCGTCATGAACCTGACACTGCACATTCAGAAAGTGACGGAGCGCACATTGTTCCCGCAAACTTGAAATAGGGCGCACCGAGACCCGGGCTGGGCCCGAGGGGCACCTCTTCAACAGGCTGCCGGGTGGAGAAAAAAAATGTGACTGACAGGCCCGACCAATAAAGCATGAAGTGGAATGTGAGGGAATGAAATGCCATTGTTCGACAAACATCTCAGGAACGCACACAGCGCCTTTTTTCACGCTGCCACTTCTTTCTGCTCCGCAGTGAAAAAAGAAAACCAGGCAGGTTCTCAAACATTTGTTTCTCATGATGATCTGCTGCTGAAGGCAGTTTACACAGAGTGGATCGAGTTTAAATAAACTAGTAAACAGTAGAATCTCACAGGAATTCTGCTCTCACACTCTGGGAGAACACTAGGAGTGTATGGTGGTGGTGAGAGGCAGACTTTTACCTACATTTGTGTCTTCGTTTCCTTTTATTACAATGATGAGGAGGACAATATTGTCATCATAAAGGAAGTCAGTTGTCAATAAAAAGCCGAAGAGGAAGAAAGCTCCATCTTACAGTAATGTAAAATGAAAACCATTCTGTCGTGGTTTGAGCTGCTCCTCACTCAGACTCTGTCTTCTGTATTTTATCTCTGAGCAGGAGATGAAACGTGAACAAGTTGGATTTAAAATAAAGTTGTTGCCTGGCAACAGCGTTGAAGAACCAGTGGTGTCTGGGGGTCTAGGATTTTTTATTTCCTTTTCAACTTCTTCTCCTTCTTCTTTGTATTCACACATTCTGAAATTGCACCAAAACGTCGGTGTTAATAAAATACTGTAGGATGAAAAGCAGTGACGTGTGTTTCAGGTCGGATGTGCTGGTGCAGCTGGGATTGGTCGTTCTTTATTAACCAGTAGAATAAAGGGATGGATGTTTTTTTTAATTACTGTGGATGTGTGTCACCTCTGATGATACTTAGTTTTTGGATTTTTACATATTTTAATGTGTTTTAATTGAATTGTGTCTGTTGTTGTGGCTCTTCTCTGAATTCTCAAGTACAAAAAGTGATTATAAAATAAATGAGAGAACTGTTTGTTTTCCCCCTTAGAGTCAAACGGAATCTGGGGGTTTTGTGTGGGGGGAGTGGGGTGGGCACGGTGCAGATGGACTCACCTTTGACCCTTTGTTCCCTAGAATTAATGCCGTTGGTTGATTTTTGTCTAAAATTGTCACAACAGTGCCATCTGGTGGCGTCTTAACTCGCGGCCTTTTGAGCGGGTCTTTGAATAGGATGGTAATACAGAGAGTACAGAGCCGTTGACCTTCAGTGGAATCATTTGGAGACATTTATTCCAGAAATATATTTTCTGCAGACATCTGTTTGTGGTGATCTACTGTAACAAACATAGGAAAAACAACAACAACAACAACAACAACAACAACAACAACAACAACAGATCTCTGTGTGGAAGTGACTGGTGCCTCTCCTACAGCAGCTCAGCAGACGTCCGCTGATGTTGTGTGGGGTCGTGGCTCAGCTCAGGAGAAGTTCTTCTTCAGGAAGTTGATGAGTCCGTTGGTGGAGGAGTCATGTGACTGGACCTCCGTGGTGTCCTTCAGCTCAGGCTCTATCTTCTTGGCGAGCTGTTTGCCCAGTTCCACGCTGAAAGTAGAGTGGAAAAAAAACAGGAAAAAATGACGGTGACGGGAAGACGTGAAGAGGGAGTGAGCAAGAAATATCTCAGAAGTCAAACCATCTCCATATGTAGTATACATTTGTAACATTTGTAGTAGTGGCCGACTCACCCCCACTGGTCAAAACTGTTGATTTCCCACATCAAACCCTGAACGAAGATTTTATGCTCATACATTGCTGAGAGGAGACAGAACGGCCATTCATTCATTATGTATTAATTATTTTTTGTTGTTGTTGTTAAATTTCTGAGCCAATGTGCTTCAAATAAACCATGCAGTGCTACTGGATGTTCTTACCGATCAGTGTTCCTATGAGCCATGCACTGGATGTTCTTACCGATCAGTGTTCCAAGTGTGAACGGAGTCAGTTTTTTGAAGATGATAGAGTTGGTCGGTCTGTTACCCTGGAAAACCTTTGTTAAACACGAAGAAATTATTTTAAGTAACACAAAGATCAAACTGTTGGAGAGCTGTGGAAATATTTCAAAGCACGAGTTTATTTATGGACACTAGAGGGCAGCTTTCGCGTTTGTTTCTGTCTAGTGTAAACAGACATGTCTAACGTCAACATAATACGGCTGCTTGGGTTTTAATACATCAATTTTACTTTGCAGAACAGCGGCCTCTGCGGCCATATGAGTAACTGCACTCCTTACGTTTGAATCCGTTGTACTTTTAGCAGCGTCTGTTTTTCACATGGATGTGTTGACAGTTTAAGCATCATTTTTTTAAAATGTTGGTGTTGAATCTGGACTTCACGTTAATGTAAAGTTTCATTCCTTCTTTATTTGACTCACTTTGTGAGGCAGGATCTTTTCCAGAGCTTCACCACTCAGCCCACTGGCCTCGAGCTCCTTCCTGACCTCCTCTGTGGTCTTCCCCCTCATCAGAGCCTCTGTCTGGGCCAGGAAGTTGGACAGTAGAATCTGTAGATGAAAGCATACAGAACAACAGCCGTCGAGAATTAGTGTGAAGCTTTTAGAAGCTTCAATTATTATATGTGGTTATGGTGCTAGAATAATAATAATAATAATAATAATAATAATAATAATAATAATAATATTCTGCTAAAACCAAACCTGTGTTTCAAGAGTTTGGTATTATGCTGGACAAACCTTTGACCTTTTTGTTCAAAGGTCAAAAGTGTGTCTTTCTCTGTTCACACATTTGAACTCTGAGGTCACTATGATATTTATTTCTGCCTATTACAGCATTGCTTTATCGTTTCTCTCTTTAGAACGTATGTGTAAATGGAAGTGGGGTCGTCTGACCTCGGTGAACTGAAATAAACTGAAATAAAAAATATAATTTGTTTAGGTTTGACAGCAGTGACACTGTACCTTGTGGTGGAGGTTGTCTCTGATTGGATGTTGAGACTGAGCCGGGATCAGGAAGTCACAGGGCACCATGCGTGTTCCTGCAGCGGAGACCACAGTGATGCTGTTAACGTCAGGGCGCAGCGTGTGTGTGTGTGTGTGTGTGTCGTCATCATTACCCTGGTGGATCAGCTGGTAGAACGCATGCTGACCATTGGTTCCCGGCTCTCCCCACACGATTGGCCCAGTGTGGTAGTTTACACGGGCACCTTGGTTGGTGATGTACTTTCCATTGGACTCCATGTCGCCCTGGTCAAAAAGTCGACAGAATAATGTTTTAAAGACACATTCATCGTCTTTATGGACTGAAAAAGTTAGAATAGAACAGGAAGTGGTCTGAGGAGAACTGTTTTTACACCTGTTGGAAGTATGCAGTGAAGCGGTGCATGTACTGGTCGTAGGGCAACATGGCGTGTGTCTCAGAGTGGAAGAAGTCGATGTACCAGATGCCCAGCAGAGCCAGCAGAACGGGGGCGTTCTTGTCCAGAGGAGCGGTGCGGAAGTGGTTGTCCTGTAGGAGGAGGAGGAAGATGTCAGTGTTTTGGTTTTTTGTTTGTTTTTTTCTGGCAGCAGCTGCTGAGAGAGACGAGTCAGTCTGTGTTACCCACCATCCAGTGAGCTCCTGAGAGAAGCTTCTCAAAGTTGTCAAAGCCTGATGAGGACATGGGGACAGAGGAGTGGACAGTATAGAGTTGACAGTGTATTATTTTTAACAATATCAACAAAACAAACAGTGTAGACTTTAATAATAATTCTAAACTACCTGGTTCTTTATTTAATGACTTCTAATGACTCTGAGAGAATTTTGTTTTTGAAGACCGTTGTCTCTGTTTACATTCAGATTAGAAAAGGTTTTGTTCTAAAAGAATGTGTCGTGTTCTTTGTACAAACCGATGTGGAGGGCGATGGACATTCCAATTGCAGACCACAAGGAGAAACGACCACCAACCCACTGAAAAAAAAAATCCATATCTATCACAAAACACATTTTATGTGTAGTTTTATAAAAGCACGTTCCATGCAGAGATATATTTAATATGTATAATGTAAATATTTAACTAGAGATAATTTTTAAAAACAAAACTAACAAGCATTTCCTGCTGCATTTTTGTTTTTGATGAACAAACAATGGAGTCACTCTTCACGTTCTGCAGGTGACGGAGGCCGCGTCACAGCTTTTTTTCCCCTTGTGACCAAATGCAGCCCTTTGACCTTTGATGCCACGCAGCCTTTACAGTTACCTCCACAGGAGAAAAGGTCGCTACCAATAATAACTGTGTCTGCAGAGAGCGGCTTCTGGTTTCCCAGCAGCTGCTGCTGCTGCTGCTGACCACGTCCAGAGACCCACCTACTTCACAGGTCAAAATCTGTCTTATTTATAGCTGCTGCCTTTGGCCTTATCATAGTGTATGTGAGATGTTAGTGGATGGTGAAGCTGCAGGCTGAGGAGCACTCACATCCCAGAACTCAAACATGTTCTCAGTGTCGATGCCAAAATCTTTCACTTTGGGCTGTGGGAGAGAGACAGAGAGAGAGAGAGAGAGAGAGAGAGAGAGAGAGAGAGTCAGGATCTTATCTCTGGACACAGGGGGAAGATTTACATCCTGGCATTGTGTCTTGACTCACTCCATTTGTAGACAGGGCAACAAAGTGTTTGGCAACAGCAGATTTCTGTTAAAAAAACAAACTTTTATTTATTTATTTTACAGTATATGACAACAGAACTGCAGTATACTGTCAGCTCACTTCTTACTCACATCTTTGGCATGTTCAAGGAACCAGGCTTTGGCTGACTCAGCGTTGGTGATGGTCTCTTGAGTAGTGAACGTCTGTAAAAGAACATCCAGAACATTTCTGCCTGTGGACCACCTTCACTCTCAAATGTGAGCTGTTCGTCCGGTGCGTTCATCACCGCGTCAGCCACCGTACCTTAGATGCGATGATGAAGAGCGCCGTCTCAGCGTTGAGCTCTGCCAGTGTTTTGGCGATGTGCGTTCCATCAATATTGGACACAAACCACACACGTGGTCCACCTTTTGAGTAAGGCTTCAGCGCTTCAGTCACCATCAGGGGGCCCTTCAGTCGGAGGAACAAAATACAAACTGAAGCTGAGCCAAACTGAACTGTTTGAATAAGTAAAAGTGCTAAAGGAGTTGCAGTTTTTTTTGTTTTTGTTTTTGCACTCACAAGATCAGATCCTCCAATGCCAACATTGACAACATCTGTGATGGATTTTCCTGTGTAGCCTTTCCACTCACCGCTGCGAACTTTCTACAGACAGATGAGACATAGAAAATAATAAAACCATCAGCTCAGCTGCAAACTGGGTTCAACTTAAAACGCTAGCCTGCTCTGTCTTTAACTTACGTGGCAGAAGCCCTTCATCTTCTCCAGGACCTTGTTGACGTCGGGCATCACATCCTTGCCGTCACACATGATGGGAGTGTTGGAGCGGTTTCTCAGAGCAACGTGGAGCACAGCGCGGCCCTTCATGTGTACACAACAACAAAAGGTTCTTAGTTATCCAAAGGTTTAACCTGGCCTTTCACTTTATTAAAAATATGAAAGTCGAGTCCACCTCGGTGAAGTTGATCTTCTCTCCTTTAAACATCTTCTCTCTGGCAGCTTCAATGCCTCTGGACTTGGCCTAAAGAAGACAACAAATATCCGTCTGTCTTGACAGAAATACACAAGAACATCCAAAGAACATGAAGAAAATGATGACCTTTTTAACCTGCTATTTCTATCAGACTCAAACTGATGGCTTATGTGAAGTAGTTTAAAGTTCAAGAGGATAAAGATGATTTTTTTTTTTACCAGCTCAACCAGCATCTTCATGACTTCCTCTGTGACCAGGTTCTTTGAGTAGTCCAGGAGAATGTCTCCATCCTCTGTTTTCAAACTGAGGCTGTTCAAACACACATGGATGATGAGGCAGAACAGAGGATTGTCCGACTAAAATAATTTGATAATATTTGGTGTTTTATGTGATATAAATATAACATATGTACGTATGTATTATGTAAAACCCGAAACATACACTGATGCTGTGCACACTACATATTTGTCAGGTTAAAAAAAACACATTTGAACAAACTAATACCTGAGCTTGTTGAATCTCTCCTTGTCAGTTTCAAACATGTGCCTCATGTTCAGGTTCAGGGCATGGGCTGTGTACCACTCCTGCAGCTTGTGGAAGTTGGGGTCTTGCGTGAGTCCCATGTTGTCCAGGAGAGGGCTTGCTGTGCTCCGCTGTGCTCAAGTAACCAGGCTGAGTGAGCTCCGTCTGAGGACACAGTTTTTCAGGGGCAACCAGAGGCCCCTCCTACCAGGGGCAATATTTAGGACCAGTGCCCATCAAATGCCTAAACTGTCCTGCAGGGGCAGCACAGTAGATGTAATCCATGCAGGGCTATTTAAACCTTAGTGTGATGTGGTTCGTATGTAGTAGTGAACAGTAGGGTTGGGATCACTTGCACGCACACACACACACACACACACATTCTTCCAGCTGCTTCCTTCAGTTGTTGCCATGGATTATCTACCTCCTCCTTCAGGTCCTTTGCCCCCTCTGCTGTTACACCAAACATGTGCATGCCCTCCCACACTATTTTCATGACTTTTCTCCAGGGTTTTCCACATTTCCTTCCGACTGAAAGCTCCATATTAAACATCCTGTTTTAGGGTTTATAAACTTTCCATCCTCTAATCATCTCAGCTATTTTCCAATCACGTCCACCGTGGTCACTCAGCTGTAAAAATCTCTGGTAATTCTACGTCAGCCTCCTGTATTTTAGACAGTGCTGCTGTTTCCATGGCATTGACTGTAGCAGGTTTCTCACCCCTGACCCTGTCAGTTTTGGTGTCAAAAATGACAATCACATTGGAAACACTAATGTATAACATGGACAGCCCAAGAACGTGGGGTTTTCAATGTATTTGACGTAAAATGGCAGTTAAACTAATATTCTGTGAACATAAACCAACCAAAACAACCGTTTATTAAAGTAAACTCTAAGTTGCAATACCCTCAATTGAACAGCAGAGGGCAGGAAACACAAGACCTTTACTCGAGTTGCTACTACCTACTTACTAGGTTTTAGCATCTGTAAAAATCTTGCATCTTTAAAAACGTGACTATTGTTTTAAGATAAGAGATTTCTTGCATCTTTAAAATCGTGACTATTGTTTTAAGATAAGAGATTTGTGGGTCAGTTTGACATATTTATTTAATCAGACCACATAAAGTATGTGTTAAAAATACAAAAGACAATTTAAAACAAACACAAACGGCACTAATACAGATTACTTATTGCTCATTGGAAATAAAACATTACCTGCAGTTTGTTAAACTCGAACATTTAAAAAATGTATTGGTGTAATTGTTATTTTTGTAGAAATATTTAATACATTTTAATATCAAAAGCCAAGATGGTTGAGAAACTGGATGACAATTTCTAGTGTTTTTTTGTCCCTCAAGGTGTCCTATTTAATAAATATGAAGTTTGGCGCCCTGTTCTAGAGTAGTTGTTTAATCCAAACTCAAATATTGAGCAAAATGGTTTAATTTAGTAGTATCCAGTATTTTCCGGCGGGCGTTTTACTGTGAAAGCTTTACCGGAAGTGGTATTTCTTATTGCTGGACCTTTGACGGCGGCCACACAGACAGGGGATTCGCTGTCAAGAGGGTGGATGCCTGAAGCTGGTGAGCGATGCGGTGATTAACTTACGTTGTACTAACATTTTTCTTGTTTTTTTTACTTACGGTTTTTGTTTTCTCCCTGGCTACTGCAACACCGTCTGTCGTAGGTTTTCGCTAGAGAAATCACCAAGCGCTTAAAATCGCTGCTGCTTGTGTCGTGTCGCAGAGAGCTAGCTGAGAAGCTAAGGCTAGCTGCTCCCTGCTATGTAGCTAGCCTATGTATCTACAAACATTAATACATCCATTGTCGGACTCACTTTATCCTGACATGTTATTGATGGTTTTCATTCAAACCTAATTGTAAATTCTGTTGTACGGAGTGGTTAACAGAAACAGAGGATGTGTGTTCAATGGTATTTATTCAAAATCCTGATCTACTGACTTAAGTTTAGGGTCTTGTAGTCCGGAGAAGAGGCAGCATTGGTTGGCGGTATCATCAATTTATGCTCTCACTGTCGCTGTGTTGTAAGTTTGAGTGATGCTTCAGGTTGACGACGATCCAGACAGGACCCTGTCGTGATAATGTATCTAGTAAGATGTGTTGATTTAATATCCTCTGTCGTGATCAGCGCCTTGGATTGTTAACATGTCCGATAACGGACTTGGGCGTTCTCGGTTTTGCTTGTAGTTATGCGCTGCAATCTGAGGTGACTATCGTTAGAAGGAGCGCATTGTACACGGACGACAAGGTGGAGATCGTTGTGTGTCATGGGGTTAAGGCGGCGATGAAAATGGTTTTATGTTGGGTCAGTGGGGAGCTGTTGAAAGTAGTGGTCGCTCCGGGTGTCTACTGACACTACTACTACGTTCAAATATTGGTTGCTTGTGTAACGCTTCCCCTATTTGTTGCACCGATGTTGTAAAAACCTTTCCGGTGACACTGCCGTTCACGGTTATTAAAAGGCCGCAATATTAGCTGCGACACACGGCTCCTGTAACTCGGGCCATGTTCCCCAGAGTTTCGATGAAACCGGCTAGCTACACTTGCGGGGATTCACCAACACCGCCCTGCCTCACAGTGATAGGATTTTTAAACAATCCTGTCAGCTGATACAAAACAAACCCTCCAGCTATTTGTCCATGGTGTTGAAGTTGTTGGGCAGATAACGATGTTCTGCTGCCGCTAAATTAACAGTGAGCCACTAGAACCTGAGCTGCTGTGAAGGTGAAACTTCTCTTCATGTCATTCACTAAATGATATCACCGTAGATTGGTCGTTCACTAAATGATATCACCGTAGATTGGTAATCTGCGTTTTAGGTGGATTTGCGTTACGAAAGATGTGCAAAAACACAGCGTCGTGGTCCGTCCTGCTCCTAATGCTGCTAAACATTACGTTGAGTTAGCCATATCAGACGTCCTAGAACTATTTTACAGTATATATTTGTTATTTTATATCTTGTGCTTATTTCTGAATGCATTTCACCAACAGTGCATACAAAAAAGTAGAATCTGGACACAAACCTAAAATTCAGAAAGCCATAAAGTTGACAATACGTCCTTTGTCTCAGGCATGGTAGTATATTGCTTTTACAATATCACCTTTCAGTGCAGCCAGCAAAATGTGACTCCAGTGTGTCATTTACACAGCATTCCTTCTTTGGAAAATGAAATAGAGCGTTAGAAAGTGTGACATGGCACCAAGCTGTAAGTTTTCAACCTTCACAATTATCGTGTCGCTGATTCATCATTAAATAAATAGTTATTTGTGTCTATTCAGACTTGAACTACTTCCTGACTGTAATTTTATACTTGAATGTTTTCAACATTCCAAATCAGAAGAAAACACGTAATGTGTAATTTTTTTTTGGTTTATGGAAACAATTTCAAGCTTTTGTAATTTGTGGTGTTAAATTTGCCCTGATGGGAAAGTCCTTTAAACTGGTATGGTTGCTGACTGGGATAAAGTGAAGTAAAATCTATACCTACATATGTTCCAATATTTATAATAGTAATTATAATAATATGTTTGCTTTACAGTAAAGTAGCCTTTATTTGTGGAAGTTTCAAATTTCCACTGCTTTCTGTCTTGCGAAATTGTTCATAAAATTGTATTTTTGTTACACTTGAGGACTTCACAGCTGTTTGCGTCAATAAGGGAAATTTGTGAATTTGTATTTGCTACTTTGAATCAATTTCTGTGTTCGCTAATGTAAAATAACTGATTTATTCATAAAGTTTGCTGTGCTGAATTAGTGCTTTACATATGAACAAAGGCTTAAATAAGCCATGATGGAAATTTGTGCTACAGTCTGCAGAAATCTCTGGCACTAGTCAGACCATTTCAGTTCAATAGGTCTTTAAAGTGTGTGTGTTTAAAGTGTGAGCTGGATGACATTTTCATGCATTTGTCTATTTGTCCCTTGTATCATCATGTGACACTTGTGCCTTTAGTAAAACACTCAATCCGGATGCATGAGCGAGTGTGTGAACCTGCAGTCACACGCTCACTGTTTGCTCTTGCCTGGGGTGGAGTACAGGCCTGTGTTCAGTTCAGTCCTTACAGACCTGAATGATGTTTCCAATACAAAGACGCTTTCTTATATTTCTTTACAGCACAGTTTCAGTCGGCTGAGCGTTACACAGGGATTAGGGCTCAGCTAAACCGAGCCATGGTATTATTTGAACTTAGAGATTCAAACATTTTGTGCATGGATTTTTTCCAATTTGTCTCCGCAACTGAGTCAGGTTTCTTACTATTTGTCCTTGTCCGTGTCACCATGACATGTCTTAGCACGGGTCGTACTTTCATTATATAAAAAAAAACATGAGCTCCTGGAGGGGAACTAAAATGTAGCTCTACTACACTAACAGAGGCCCTACAGAGATATTATTAGGTGGTTACAGCTTGGTTCTAATTACATTAGTGTATGTCAGATACCTTTAGTGCAGTGATAAACTTTGGTGCCGCACAAACCCTGTGGTACAGTTAACCAGATTGACTGTGAGTTATTGAAAGTGAACAACGTTTTAAGACTTTAAGACTATTTAAGACTATTCTATTCTATTCTGAGCGAAGCATGCTGACCAGGTGAATGTAGTCAGAACCAGTGTTTAAATTATCCATCTTTAGCTCAAGATTTACTTACTTACGTAAACCTTAATTATTGTTTCTCCTTTTTTGGTGAACCTTGTTAGATGCATAGTCTCATCTATGAAGGAGGAAAGTAGATCCTGGGTTAACACCAAAGATAAGAGAGAAGGCTCAGGGCATGGGAATTCTCACTCCTGTCTCCTGGGAAATCAGTTAAGTCATAGTTTGTGGTCAGTTATTTGCCCCTAAGTCAAAAGTCTCTGTGAAATGCTCAAGATGGAGACCAACATGGAACGCTGGTGTAAAAGGATACTTAATCCCTGCAGGAAACATTTTTCTTATGCTTTTTCATGAGCAGGTCATGAATAGGGTCAGCCACCAAACAATAAACGGCCACCACTGATAAATGTGTTTCTTTGTGCGAGTGTTTCTGTGACTCACTGCTGTAGCTCGTATTCACACAAAAACAGTGCTGCTATTTGTGTGACCAAGACTGGATGTCTGACTTGTGTGGCACCTCCATATCCTGCCTCATTGTGCCAAATGTGGAAGGATAAATTCTTGCTGTTGTCCTGGCTAAAAATACAGCACCCTGGTGGCTGGCATGCGACACAACCTTGCAGCCAGCAGTAGTCGTATGCTGCCTGTTATAGGCTGAAGCATTTCCTACCCACAGGTTAACACTAGCTTTTCATGAATGGAACTGACAACAGATGATTTCATCACTGCTTTCACTAGTTGAAATCCAGAGGTATGACAGTCTGAACACCATCACTATTGTTCACTGCAGTTCTGGAGAGAAGGACACATGGGCTAATATTGTTTGTTCAAGTCCAGGCACTGAAAGGAATGTAAACCACTGTGTGTGAAACCTGTAATTACAGCAAACAAGATAAGGCTTTCAGATTTAGTCGGTCGTCATCTCGGTTCCTTTGGCCAAACTACATGTTTTTGCTCCAGCGGTGAACTCCAAGTACAGTCAAAGATACTGCAAGGATGTACTGTATGTTGCCTATGAGAGGCAGACCTGTTGGACCCTTCTGTATGTCCTTTGTCAGAGTGGCCTGTCTGCTATTTTTATTGGAGCCATAAGCTACTTACACCGTCCAATACAGGTTAGACTAATATAAGCCTGTCTGCTCTCCAACTGTCTCTGTTACTAATCTGGGTATTAGGCCCCCCGTTTATTGTATCAACAGGGAACTTCATGAAAGTTGCTTAAAAAAAAACTAACTGTTGCAGACTATTATTATTTGGTGTCAGTTAAATTTATTCTGAAATGTATCAGATGTTGTACAAAGCAACATCAATCTGAATGGTTGTGTTGTGTTTATGTCAACTTTTTACATCATCAAATTCAGGCAGACATCAACAAGAACAAGGTTGTCAAATTTTGACTCGCTCTCCAGACATGAGTTGGTAACAGGAAAGCTAGCAGTGGGTGGGCTTTTTCCCCAGCCACAGGGAGCGTGGAGGCTGTCCGTCTGATGACAAAGCAATCAAAGTGAGTGGCATTGATTGAACCTCAACTACCAAATGAATTCACAGCTGCTGTCATGTGAAGCATACTCATTTATTTCCAAAACACATTGGATGACGTTACGGCTTCTTGTGGTCATATGGTTCCTTTCAGTGATGTGGACGTTTCACAACAAGAAGGCAAAAACATATCTCAGCAAAAAATAGGAATTAAGCAACAGGACTTGCAGTGTTAATGTAGCCTTATTATTAAACTCAAAACATTCAGAACCTGCTGTTTCATAGACAAACCTCCTCTAAACTCTATCGAGATGATACAAGAGCTGTTCATCCAGTAGATATTAAAATGCCTCAAAGGCCTTAAATAGTATCTTCCTTTTACAGAGTCATGCAGCTGCATATGTGAGATTTATTTTCTCTATAGTGGTATGAGGAGACCAATGGCTGCCACAATACTCTCCTTGTGTTTGGTGGCTAAGAGGAGCCTGGC